CTCACATATATATATATATATATATAAGATAGATATATACATTAATATATACCAACCATTTTCCCTAAAAACATTAAGAATAATTTTTATAATATTTAATTACATTATATATGAATATTGCATTGTTATTATATTGTACATATATTATTAGATTATTTTTGTTAACCTTGATTATTTCTATATGTGTGAGCCCGCTCGCCACCGCTCACTCTAGCCGCTGGCCTCCACTCACTGTAGCCCGCCATATGTGACGCTGTGTGTTTCGTTGTGAAAGCGAAACTAGTCTATAAATGAACAGAAAAGTAATTAAAAAAAAAACATTTCAGAAGTGTATACAGAAATAACATCTTAACCTTTGAGTAAAGATGAATCTTGGTTCATGGGACTTGGATCATGTTCTTTACAAAGTCATTAAGGTAGAGTAACCGTACCGTTATGATCTCTATAGATAATAATAAACATATACAGTATATATATCACCTTTCTCACAGCGCGAGCCGGTCCAGCCGAGAGCACATGAACAGTTCCCAGAGACGGCGTCACACAGGCCTCTGTTACTGCAGTCACAGCGCTGAAAGCAGCCCGCGGGACAGACTGCACACACACACACACACACACACACACCTGCCGTCAGACATCAGACAACACACACATGTAACCTCACCAAACACCAGCTCACCTTCATCCCCGACACACACGCCTGTGACCGGATCGTTTCTCAGCCCCTTTCCACAGACGGCCACACGGCCACAGTCCGGCCCGTACCGTCCCGCCGGACACGCTGAATACCAGAGCATACGGGAGGACAAGCGTGCTGTTGAAACGCTGCAGTCTGACACATATACAGTGTGTTTTGAGCAAGTGCTGCTGTGCGGGACTCACTGAGATGACAGCGGGCCCCGATGAATCCAGCCGGACATTCACAGGCCCCCGAGACCGAAAGACAAACTCCACCATTCAAACACTGACAGCGATGCTCACAGCCAGGACCGTAGAAACCTTCAGCACACGCTACACACACACACACACACACACACGAGAGAATGAGGAAAAAACATGCAAAACAACAACAGCAGCACATCATAAACCTGATGAAATGAAAATCTGCATCCTTACGTCTGATCAGAGTCAATATTTATCAACTACACACTTGTTTCTCCTCAGACAGACATTAAACAAAAGCTTTATGAGCATGTGCTGCGTTTAGAGCTTTAGAATTAGCCCTGCCTCCACTATTAGAGTGAAATAACATTTTATCTGAAGCAGAGATTCAGCCAAACCCCTTTTGACAAAATATTTACTTGAAAAGCATCCTTTAATATTACAATAAAATAACAACACATTGACTTGTTTATGGTTCTCCAATGTTGGGTCATGGTGACATGACAAATAAAATATTTCAAATTTTTTTTTATTTTTTTTTTAATGGTTTTATTATTTTTGTGTTTTAGTTTTTTATTTTAAATCTTTTTAAATTGGACATTTTTAGGATTGTATTTTTAGCTTTTCCACTTGTTTTTATTTTAAAATGATTCATTTTTAAATTTTTTATGATTTAAATTTTTTTTAGCTTGATTATTTTTATTTTAAGATTTATTTTTGTAACCTCACATTTTTATGATTTTTAAAAATTTTTTTTGGTTTTAGTGTTTTTATTTTTAAATGTTTTAAGTTGTAGTTTGTTTTTTTATTTTAAAATTTATTTAATTTTACATTTTTATGATTTGATACATTTTAGGTAAGAGTTTAGTTTGTTTTTATCTTAAAATATATTTAATTTTACTTTTTTATTAAGTTTTAATTATATTTTAAGTTTGTTTGTATTTTAAAATTTACCTTAAATTTGTATTTTATATTTGTATAATTTTATGTATTTGGGAAAGAGTTTTATGATTTTGTTAATTTTTATTTAGTGTTTTACTTTGTTTTATTTTTTTTTATTAATTAATTTAAATGTAGCTTTTTTTCTATGGTTTTATTTTTTGTGTTTCAGTTTGTTTTTTAAAATTGTATTTAATTTTTAATTTTTAATTCGATTTTAAGTTTGTTTGTATTTTAAAATTTAAAACGATCAAACTAAAACTCTTGCCAAAATGTATAAAATCATTAAAAATATAAAATTTACTGTAAATCTATTTTAAAATGTATGATTTTATTATGTTTTAATGACATTTTTAGTAGGTTTTATTTTAAAAATGTACTTTAATTTACATTTTTAGGATTTTCTGTATTTTTATTTTTATTTGACATTTTCTAGGATTTAATCATTCAAGCTACTCAACTCACAAACCCCTTGCAGTTCTCTAACAAACCTAAAACATTCTTCACAGTACCGATATCCCTCCAGTAAATGTAAGTGCATGCCTCACCCTGTTCACACTTGGGTCCTGTGAATCCAGGCGCGCAGTAACACTCTCCAGACAGCGGGTGGCACAGCTGGTTTCTCTCTGAACACTGACACACCTGATTACAGTTGATGCCGAAGGTACCGGGCAGACAGGCTGTTGAGACAGACTCAGATGATATTATTTTTTAAAACAATCTTTTTTTCTGCAGTAATTTGGCATGTCGTGCAGTAGGAGTGAAGCTCAGACACTCACTCTGCTCGCAGCCGTTGCCCGTGTAGCCGGGAGGGCAGCCGCAGCGTCCCGACACGTGATGGCACGATGTGCCCGGCGTGCAGGAGCAGCGCTGGACACAGTCCTGACCATATGAGCCCGGCAGACATGCTGACACACACACACACACACATAAGTGTCACACACAGACAGATACTGGACGCACACTTCAAATGTAATATAAATTAATTATTTTTATATAATTGATTAATTTAATAATTATATATATACAGGGGAGCACACAAGTTTTTCGGTTTGGTTCTCATGAGAGTACCTAGAGATCTGGTTTGGTGCTCACACTGCACATAGTGTGAGCCATTAAATATAACTATAAAAAATAAAATAATTAATATTAAAAATAATATAATTGTGCTTTATTTAATTAGATTATTTAAAAATAAAATCATAAAAAATAATAAAGTGTGATAATACTATTATATTTTAAAATAAAAAATGAGTGTTAAATAAAAATACAATTATTTTATAATACACTTAAAAAACACAATGCTAATATTTACATTAAAATGTTTTCTTTCTTTATTTTTATATGAATTTTACATTACATTAAGCGGGGAACATTATCCCGCTTATTACACGGCTACTTGCCACATAAGTAAATATTTAGACACAAAATATTGATTTGAGTTGAAATATTTGAACGCAAAGCTTCGTGAACACAGCAGTTGCGAGCAAGCGGCAAGTTCAAACTAGACGGACATTTAAGGGATACGGTGCAGTTACACAACATTTCACCACATAAATAATTATGGCGATAAAAGATTTAAAACGAAAATGTTTTAAAATCTTACCAGTTTGTTTGTTAGTTATCTTATAATCCATTACAGCGTACAAAACAATCGTTGCAGCAGCTGCGTTTGAATGAAACGAGAGCGCGAGTCCACGATACCAGGATGACATAGCTTCCACCAAGAAAAAAGCAAGTATAGCGCTGACTTCAGTTACCCGGATGAGCCTGTGTTATCAGTTTTTACCATAGACTGTATAAACTGTTATCGAGGGATAACATACCTCAGAATGTCGTCACTGACCAATCAGAATCAAGTATTCCACAGTTCCGTCTAATAAAATTATTTATTACAGGTGATAACTTTAATGATTTAATCATTGTTTTATAATTATTTAAATGATTAGATACAACATCCTGGACATTGAAGTGGTCTAGGTCACACAGGCGATGAACTGACCTTTCTCACAGCGACTTCCTCTCCATCCTGCAGGACAGAAACACTGTCCGCTCACATGATGACAGGAGGCTCCGTGATCGCACTGACACCGGCCCTCACAGCCGACTCCAAACCGCCCCCATACACACGCTGACACACACAAACACACACACTGCTGATGTTATACTGACCTAATCGAGATTTATGAGTTTTACGCTCATTTGGGTCCCATATGTATACAAGACGAAACACACACACACACTGATTTTATAGGCATGTTCAGTCATTCTCTCAGTGTGAATATGACTGTAATACTGTAATCTCCTGAAAGTCAGTCTTCGATAAAATCATTCTATTAATTATCAGAAAACATTTATAACTGAGCACTAGGAGGACACAGATCTTGTGTATCTATATTGAAAAGCTGGGTTTATTTTATTTCCTGTTGGGACAGTAAGTTGAGATGGTCTTACCGTTCTCACAGCGCTGTCCCGTCCAGCCGGCCTGACAAACACACTGACCCGTCTGTCTGTCACACTGAGCACCGTTCACACACTCACATCTGTCCTGAAGACAACTAGAGAGGAGAGAGGGGAATGGCAACCACAAGTCCAGACTAAATAAGAAAAAAAATAATACATTGAATTATTCACTAAACATTGTTATTTTTTCATTATATTGATGATTTTATTTTATGAATGCTGTGCTTTATGTTAGCATTGGCATTGAGACTGAGACTAAATGAACCTGCAGCAGTGCTCAAAACTGTTATGAGGTGTGAGGAGAAGAAAGCAGGATCTTGAAACGGAGGCTATGACTCAAGTGTCTGCGGTTGCCAAAACCATCTGACACACAAGTCAACAAATACTGAAAAGTGAAACACCAGTATGACACTATATATATGATGTAATGTCTGGAAATCAGCAGCTTCCCAACATTCAAATTTTCCGTCAGCACATGGAGATCCATTACTGAATATCCATTTTATTTATTTATAATATATATGTGATACACCCAAGTGTAATCACAATTGCAATGTATGTTTTTTTTATTAATTGATTAATTTATGATAAATATAAATGGAAAACTATCTCAGAATGTGATAATTTATTCAAAGGAGACTCAGAAATTGTAAATATGTACTTAGGGAATTGTATTCAGGGAATTTAGGGAAATGTATCTGTTAATGGGAATACGCTGATAAATTGTGTCATGTGTGATGGTTACAATTTGAATGATACTAGTGTAGCAGCTGTGTGATGATGACCAATGAAAATGGTTACATAGAAACTCTGTTCCCACTGAAGATATAAGAGCTTATTAAAGGGATTTTAATGTGTATTTTGCAGCATGCTGATGATTATAAATGAGTTATGATGAAATGTGTTTTATAACATGAGTATGATGCAGAAAACAAATATTTGAAGATTTTATTGTAAAAATTTACAACAGAGTACAGAACTGTATTTTTAGTATATGAATATGAATTATGATGTTGACCCGCTACATATAAAATATATAAAAATTTGGTCACACTTTAGTTTGGGGAACAATTCTCACTATTCAATAAACTCAATAAACGCGTCATTTGCTGCTTATGAATAGTTATGAGTATGTAATAGGTAGTTGTTAAGTTTAGGTATGGGGTAGGGTTAACAGATCTAAAATATGGTCATGTAGAATAAGCCATTAATATGTGATTTATAAGTACTAATAAATAGCCAATATCTTAGTAATATGCATGCTCATAAGCAACTAGCTAATAGTGAGAATTGGACCCTAAACTATATATATATAGTTTTCCCTTAATAATAAAAACCTTTATTTAAAAACTGCATGTTGTGTTTACTTGTGTTATCTTTGACTAATATTTAAATTTGTTTGATGATCTGAAACATTAAAGTGTGACAAACATGCAAAAAAAATAAGAAATCAGGAAGGGGGCCAACACTTTTTCACACCACTGTATATAGTGCTGTCAAACGATTAATCGCATCCAAAATAAAAGTTTTACATAATATATGTGTGTGTACTGTGTATATTTATTATGTATATAGAAATACACAAACATACATCTATATATTTAAGAAAAATATGATTTGTTTATATATAAAATATTAATATTTATATAATATAAATTATATTTTAATATATATTTATATACACATGTAAATATTTTTTAAATATATACATGTACGTTTGTGTATTTCTGTATACACAATATATATATATAATGTATATATACAAAATATATATATATAATGTGAACAAAACACCTGTATCACGCACATCATATCCTGACCTTTTGCTTTATTTTTAACTTTAGATTTGAAATGATCTGGTTTGCTTCATGTCCTGATTATTTCATGCTCTCTCTCTCTCAATGCTACTAAAGAAGCAAAAAAAAATAAAACATAAAATGTAAAAAAGCACAGCTTCCACACTGCCAGTAATAGTTTCCTAAGCAGTACGTTTGTTCTGTAGTCAGCACACTGCACTTGACACTGTCAATTACAATTAAGTGTATATATAAATATGCACATTACTTAAATCTCACACCACAACCAGACCGGGAGAATATTGCAGGAAAATTCAGCACAAGGATCTCAGTCACTCACCCAGTTCACAGGCTGAACCTGTCCATCCGCTGGGACAGAAGCAGCGGCCGCTCTCAGGGTCACACGAACCCCCGCTCTGACACAAACACCTCTGAGCACAGCCCGTCCCGAAGAATCCAGGAGAACAACCTGGAAAAACAGGAATACAAAACCAGAACTAGAACACCATCTAAAACTATACAGACTCAAAGAAAAACCATACAGTACACAGGACACAAAATCACTGCTGTGCTTCATTAGAGGCCTACTCTACTCTTCACACTGTCAGTGAGCATTATGGGTCTTGGTTACTTTTATTCAAATAAATATGCATGATTACAGTACATAAATACAGAGCAGATCCTCCCTATACGCAAAATACGCAAGCTGCGTAGGGCCCCCGAAACACCAGGGGGCCCCCTTGCTCTCAAAGATGATTTAATTTTAGTTTCGTTTTTGAATTTGGCCAGCGGTCATGAAAACATGAATGGTCATTTCTTTTAATGTGGTGCGTTGTCGCCCTTTCTACATAAAAATCAGTTAAATCATGTAATGTGAATGTCGTACAGTCTTGCTCCAGACTAAAAAAACGAGTTGAAAGCGTACCGAGCCGCAGAATAGACACTGTTTCTCAAGCGCTTTCCGCGAGCAAGATTCCAGACGGAGTGAAACACGGACAAATGCGTTTCATTCATTCGTTCATAACCACTCATACCCCACTTCAATAAGAGTCTCATCTCCCATTCCCTTTAAGAGCCAGTTGCGCTCGTGCCATGGCGTATTTGCTATTTACACTGCAGAATTTGCAAGCACAAAGACAGAAAAACGTCTCCAGAGATGAAACGGAGCTGCTCCTGCGCGAGCAAATATGTAGCCTAATTCTGATACATGCAATGACTATCCATTATGACATGTAGGCATTTTTACATTTATGTAGCCTACACAATAATAATCTTTTACATTGCAATCCTTTAATTTTTAATATTTGGCATGTTTGTGTGCTGCTG